TCGAGAACCCCAGCGCCTCTCCCACTAATCTCCTCAACTTGTTGAAGTTGGCCCTCTTAAAGTCTAGGGCTACTGCCTTGACGCAGGCCCTTGGCACCCTTAGCTGGATGGTGAATTCCAGCAATCAATGATTGCTATCGCCCAGGTGGTCGAGGACCTGGTGCCCTCTTACCAGGTCGTCACCTGTGGCCAGGACCAGGTCCAGCAGGGCATTCCCCCTGGTAGGACTCTGTACCTCCTGGGTTAAGTGGAGGTCCTGTATCTTGGCCAGGAACCCCCGTGAGCGGTCCGACCTGGCTGTCTGCTCCTCCCAGCAGATGTCCGGGTAATTTAGATCACCCATGACAACTACATCCCTTGCCTTAAGTGCCTCTGCAAGCTGACCCCAGAATATTCAGTCAGGCTCTTCCCCTTGGTTGGGAGGTCTGTAGTAGACTCCCATGTCCCCCACCTCCACCCTGTTCTGGCACTGCTCAGCTGCCAGCTCCCTACAGGAACTCCCTGCTTCCCTGCACAACCTGGAGCTGGCTGGGAACTGTTCCATTTTGGGGCAGGTCTCAGCCAGCTCTGGGCTGCCCACCATGAAGCTGGCTGGGACCTGCCCCAGAATGGGACAGTTCCTGGCCAACTCCAGGCTACGCAGGGAAGCTCTGCTGGGCCCAGGACTTGTCCCCATGATGTGTATGGGACCAGGGGACAGCTGCCACTGGAGCTGACGGAGGTCTCCTGGCCCCGTGCACATGGGGACCAGCTCTGTGCTCCCTGCTAGCCCCCAGGCTAGCACCCAGGGGGAGCCTGGAGCTCCCCCTGTCTGATGCAGGGGGGCAAAGCAGGGCAGGAGCAAGTCCCTTCCCAAGAGGGAGCACATGTAGATATGTTCCCGGGTAGGCTTACTGCACAGTATTTTTACTGTTTCATAGTTTCATAGTTTGTAGGGTCAGAAGGGACCTGAGTAGATCATCAAGTCCGACCCCCTGCCATGGCAGGAAAGAGTACTGGGGTCAAACGACCTAGTAAGCCTACTTTGAATTAATAGCATGTGTAGATACTCCCACTTTAGTACAACTGTCAAGAAAACAGTTCTTGGCAGGGCTTGTTTTTTTTACAGCTACATGGCCAATATATTTGCTATAGACTTTACGCTATGACATCTTAGCTTTCTTTTGCTAAGAAAAAAAGTTTAGCATATGCTTGCCAAGAAAACCTACTAGAAGCAAACTGATACAGCATTGTCCTTGTGCTTCCCACAACCTGAAACAATAACTCAGAGATGTGAGCTTCTCTGTTTACTTGAGTGGAGCATTCACTCTGAAGGGTGAAGATGAGTTTAAATGTCAACAGTAAAACTGATTGTACTCATTTAAATATTCAGCTAATGGTCTTAGCTAGCATTGGTGGATGCAGAAGCAAGGTAATGGATTAGGCCAGGGGTTGGCAACTGATAGCCTGTGGGCCAGATCCACCCTGCAGAACTATTCAATCTAGTCTGCAGAGATGGGCCTTTAGCAGCATTTGGTAGCTGAGGGCTTCAGCACAGGTGTTTCCTCTTGCCATTGTAGGGATAAGCTGATGGACAGGTCCTAGCGCACTCACTTCTGACCTGGGATGGGTCTTTCTAGTGTGTAGCTGAAAAAGATTTCCTACCCCTAGGACAGGCAGCTAGTTACTATGCATCTATTGCAGGGATCAGCAACGTTTTTCAATGAGAGGCTGCTTTAACAGAGCTTAGCTCTTAATACAGGCAGCTACTAATGAGGCTCGTGCCAGTGCAGCTGTTATG